AGGCTTTGTGTAAGACCATCTCACCACGGGACGTGCCGGCTTGCCTCAGTGTCCTTCCTGCCAATGACTTGGCTCTGTCCCCACAGTGAGTTTCAGGGTCACCCTATTCAGGTCTGCTTCCTTCTCACAGAAACGTTAGAGACCCACCCGTTTGGAGTATTGCAGACAGTGCCATCACACACCAAATGTCATCGCTGAAGGGGAGGGAGGGAAACGGCGAGTACCCAAAAGCCCAGATGGAGCTAAAAGCAAATATGCAAACCCTGATTGAGGTTAAGAGTCATCTTGTATTTAAGAATTAATATTGTGAAGTGCTGTAGCATTCGGCGTGGTATTAGATTATAAGGATGGCTTGGAGTACCAAAGTGCTTTATATTCAGATTGTATTTTAAGTTGTGGTGCTTACTGGGGAGGTGCATTTAAAATGAAAATACTAACTTAAATTTTGTCTGCCAAGTTAATAAACAGATGTCAAAAATGCTCTCACAAGAGGCATTTTATCTATGGGTCTATTTAATTAACACCAATATTACCTTTATGGCATGTAATAACATCATGTGAAAAACCATATTCACTGCTAGAGAATCCCTCAGTGATTTACCATAACTCAGTTCCCAGCCACTCACCAAGACAACTATGCGTGGTTTTGAAAAGTATGTTGCACGCGCGCGCGCACACACAAACACACACACGCATGTACCCAAATGTATAGGTACTAACATGTAACAATGGACATACATGTACGTATATGCTAGAGACGATGTGAAATTTATGTGGCTGTATCACTTTCTGATGCAAGATGAATCATTACAGAGAAGGACCAATATAATGTATTCACAGGTCTTGACACACTTAGATTTATGCCCGTCACAGTATCACTCATGTACATTTGCATCTTATCCTGGCTATGCCAACACGAGTAGGAGTCTAACACTAACGTCCCTGGGTCCCAGGAAGATCTTCATATTATGTGACTTGCCATCACCTTGAAGAAACATCCATCGGTCTCTAAGAGTCATGCTGGTTTGAGAGTCGGGAATTTTAACTCAAGACCAAGATGCTTTTTCTGAGGAAGGTATGATTGACCTTACAATATTCCATGACAAGCTTAAAAAAACTCCATCCTATGCAGTCCAGGGCTGGTGAGTCTCCCCCTAAGTTAGAGGCAGGTGGTTCCACTTGGATATGCCAGGCTGGGGCAGGGTGGGGAGTGATAAAAGAGGGCCCTCTTGGACTCCAGGCCCTGCTGGGACTGGGCCCCTTCGCCCACGGGGTGGCAGGCAAGGAGGGTCAGGCTCAGAGAGTTGTCCTCTGGGCAACAGTAAAATCTGGGCATAATCAGACTTCACACTCTAGAATCCAAGTTGATCCTGATCTCAAAAGGGAAATTCCTGGACTCCCAGCTCTGTGGTGCACAACAAAAGGTCAGTTTGCTCAGACATGGTGAGTCCACTACCATGTGCGAGAGCAGTAGCCTGTGACCTCCAGGCGGTGGCGTCTTAGAGGTCCCCAGCAGGGGTCTGATCCTGTGGCAGCCCCTGAGGGTGACTGAGCCTCGCCGACACCAAGGCCTGTTGGGGAGGCTGGCAGCTGGCACATCCCTGCAGGGCCTCACAGGAACCTGTGAGTGCAACTGGATTGTAAGGCTCTGTGCTTTCTCGGTGAAGGAAAAGCTTTGATGATAATGGAAGAGCCATTCTCTACTCTGCCAACTCTTTCAATATATCCTGAAAACAAAAATGATGCTTGCATAGTGCACACAAACACTACAATGTTTTGTTTGAAAATGGTCTCTGCAGTCCCTATAAAACACACTAGGATTGTGGCAGTGGGATGCAGAGGCCAGCAGTAGCACCTAGTTAGGCCCTGCGGGACACTGCCCCCAGGAAAATGCCTCAGAGCCTGGGGCGAGGCTACTTCCAGGTGGTGGAGACAGAGAGCGGGTCCACTCACACATGCCTTGCCTACCCACGCAGACCTCTGGCCTCCTTGAGACAGCAGAGCTTTCACGATTCCAAACATCTTTCATACGGATACATCTGCATCAACAAATAAAGACAGTTTGGATAAATGTTTCCCACTGATTTTCTAGATTTATGTGAAAATGCATAAGCATTCTTTTCTTACCAGTAAGCAAATCATTATTACATGTCCTAAATAAACAAATCAAATTCTTCAATTCCTCATAATGATCCAAGAGTGTTTCTGGCTTGCAGGGTAATCTCTCTCTGAATATCAAATTCAGCCCCTCATTGATCATAATCCCATTTCCCTGGTGTTTCAATAGGCAGAAGTAACACTACCTTGAACAAATCAGAGATATGTGGCCTCCAACTTCCCTGTTAGCTGGGATGTGATCAAATCGACATATTGCACTTAATAAGGTCTCCAATCAGGGGAGACCGGAGGCCATGTGGTTTGCCACCAAAGGTGTGGGGCTGGATGCACACCTGTCTCCTTTACTCAGCTCCCCTTGAAAGACGGGTGTAGTATCTGACTCATGGCCCCCATTCCAACAAGGTCACGATTTCCATGGGTTCAGTCTGTTCTGTTTCAGACATCTATTGTATAGCCACCTCCATACCCCTCTGAAACCCCCTGAACAATTCCGCCCCTTCTTCATTTAATGAATCCCGTGTAGCCATGACATTGGAATTCAGAAGCACAAGACGGTTTGTGGGCACAGAGAGCTGTGCAGTTTGCAGCCTTGGCCTCGGAGCTGTGTTGATGATCACACTAGTTCGTCTTCCTGACTCGAGGAGCAATTGGCAATTTCGTCAGCCTCTGAGGAACTGCTCCAGCCTATTTATTTTTCATTAATTTGCTTCCTTTCTAGAGAAATTAAAGGCAGAGGAGGATCCTCCAAGAAGTTGAAAATTGTATTCTGCAAGGACTTTAGGCATTTGAGGTCTGGTCTTCTTTCTGCAGCTGATAAGGTGACATATGCAAGATGGTTGAGAAGCTTCAACCTTTGTCTTACTCTAGAATTGGTTGAAGTTTCTAAGGAATTCCCTGCCCTATTCACTTGCCTTATTTTAACAAACATTTTTAACAGCTGGTCAAATTTCTTGGGCAATGTAATCTGGAATGTACAAAAAAAACCCTACTTGATTTGTACATTGATAAATATATATACAACTGAAAAACAAAAAGATCTTTGCACTGAAAATACATAAAGGTCTAAACTGGTGGTCAGATACTATTTGCTTCTCTTCCTATGTAAATGGTAGAGAACTCAAAAGAATATTATAACTTTGACCTTCAGAAAATCCAGATTACAGTAAACAAGTGAGGGCCACAGTCTACTAAGAGAACTCATATTTAGAATGTCTTTCTGTCTCCTAAATAAGACAGCCCAGGTTCTCTCAGGGTAGGATCAGGGTAACACATCTGCCCTGGGATCAGTTTACAGAGTTTGAAAAATTGAGGTATCTGTTGCATGTTGAAGTTTTAGCTTCCATCTTATTTGGTAAATGAAGCTGTATTAGATCTAGGTTCCAGCATTACTTGTGTAAAAGAAAATAGATTCATAGTATCCTTAACTCACAGCTCGTAAGTAGAGTACCTTAAAAAGTCCCTTAAAAGAACCTACAGTATGTTATGAGTTCTAAAGCCTATGAGAGTATATTGCATTGTATTGGAAGCTGGCAGCTTGGCACGGTAAAATAGGGTAGGCAGTTTATGAAAAAGAATTGTAACAAGAAAATAGCTCTCCATCAACTTTGCCACCTTGCTATACCTGACTAGTGCAAAAGGCACCTTAGTAAAACACAGGGTTGGTTTGCCCTAAGAGTCCTTTGCATGGCTTTTGCACAGATTTTAGAATGTATTCTCTTCCTAACATATGGAGAGCACAAAGGCCCCCACAAATACGAAGACCTATAGCAATAATATTCTTTATAGAGTTCTGTGCCATTTACATAGGAAGAGCAGCAACTAGGATCTGACCACCAGTTTAGACCTTTAATTCAGTGCAAAGATCTTTTTTCAGTTGTGTATATATTTATCAATGTTCAAAACAAGTCTTTTACACTACATGTTCCAGATTACATTGCCCAAGAAATTTGACCAGCTGTTAAAATGTTTGGTAAAATAAGGCAAGTGAACAGGGCATGGAATTCCTTAGAAACTTCAACCAATTCTAGAGTAAGCCAAGAAGGTATTATTAATCTCATGCTATAGATGATAAACGTGGAGCTCCCTGAGGCAAAGGGGGAGGAAGTAGAGTTTGTATCTAGCTCTTCTTTCCTTGTCCCAGAATTTTAGCCTGGCTTTCTCAACAACAGCCACAACAGTCACTTCTTGAATGACACTGAATATATGGCATTCTGCTCGGTTCTTTACATAAATTGTTTAATTTTCACAACAACCTAGCATGGTACTTTTACAGTTTTGAATTATGATCAAAACATCTAGTTACAATTTTCAGCATGTTTGCCCTAACTTCCTACTGTTATATTTGAGATTCACAAGGCCGCAGGACAGAGAGACAGTCACCGAGGCTGTAATTACCAAAAGGAGTTTTACTGTCTAGCTCGAGCTAGGGTCCAAGCCCCCAGAGTGCCAGCGCAGTGGCCTCTTCTCCGGGCAGGGACCCTCCTTTGTGTGTTAGTCCCCTTTTATAACTCAGTTGTTTACACACTGGTCCTGCATCTGCCCCCACAGTGATTCTTACTTCATCCTGCCCCTGATAGGCTCTAACCTGTTCCGGGTCCTAGCTGAGAGACTCCGGTTTCCGAGTTCTTTGTCTTTTTCCTCTGCATCCCATAATGTACCCATAATGCCTTGCGGTTAGCAAACAGGCAGTAAACAGAAGCTGGAAGGTGTCTATTGTCCTTATAGCCCAGTATCTTACATTTCCCCCTTTCTCTTGGTTCTTATGAGCATTCTTGCTAGTATTCAGGGTTTGTATCTCTTCTATTCTTAAGCTGTTTTTTTTAAGATTCACCCTTTGGTATTGCTGCTGCAGTACCATTAACTGCACAGTATTTATTTGTTCCTTTATGAAAGTGACTAACCTATTCAGAATACATGGCCCAAAGGTGAGGATGAGCATGAGCACTATTATAGGTCCCAACAAGATAGATAGCAGTTAACCACGGGGAACTGTTGAACCACGACTCAAACCATCCTTGTTGTTGCTCCCGCTCTGGTTTTCATCGGGCAAGTCCCTCCCTGACCTTTGCCATGGACTCTCTAACTACTCCAGTATGGTCTGCATAGAAGCAGCACTCTTCTCCTAGGGCCACACATAGCCCCCCCTGGTGGAGGAATACTAAGTCCAGCCCCCTCCGGTTCTGCAGCACTACTTCGGACAATGAAGTTAGGGATTTTTCTAAATGGGAGATGGACTCCTCAGTTCTGGCTATGTCTTCGTCTACAGCAGCCCTTAAGCTATTGAACACCCTACGCTGCACTGCCAAGGATGAGATGCCTGTCCCTGCTCTTATTGCCCCCAGGCCAAAAAGAGTAGCTAAGGTTATTGCTATGAAAGGCTCCTTTTTTTTTTTTTTTTTAATTAAGTTGGAGTCCTTTCCTTCTCTGGTACATGCAGCATAGACGGTGTCTTCTTGATGATAGATGACCTTTGGGAACACTAGTACCATAATGCAGTATTCTTCAGACTCATTGAAGACTGATAGGCTTAGGCAGGGGGTTAGGCCTGTCTTTGAACAGACCCACCACCCGTTGAGTGCTGGGACCAGCCATTTTATTCCACTGGTCCGGTCTATGGTAGGGTGAACCTCGGCACTAAACTGCGAGTGGCTAGCAGGCACCTTTCCTATGCAGGTTCCATTTCCGGTGACTGTCGGAAGAGTCAGTCTTGGTCTCTTGTGGTCCCATTTACAAGACTTGGGAATTTCTTCTCCTGACTGGCTAAAGGGGGTAGCTACTCCCACTGCTTCATAGAAGGAGATCTGATATCATAACATAACCAGCACGCCTCGGTGAGGGCTGGTTCAGTGTGGTTTAAAGTCTCATATGCCGCTGTCAGCATGTTCCATAGGGAGTACTCGGTTTCTTCTGCTTCAGGGGTGTTCTGACCTCTGGGGATGACCTGACTTACAGTTTCTGCCCCGACGAGTTGTGGAGAGGAGACTGTTGGTTGCAGAGTTGGTCTGTTCTGCTTTTTCCTTTTTACCTGTACCTCTGGGTTAGGCCCTACAGCACCTGTAATGGGAGCCACTAAGTTTGATTTGTATTATGGAGCAGAGAGATGGCCTTTGATACAGGCATATTCCCCAGGACAGCCCTGACTTCCACCTTTTATCTTTCTTTCCCTCTTTTGTAAATTTTACCCGTATCAGGTTACAGTCTCTGACATACCTGTTTCTAGTACAAAGTTGGACATAGGACATTTTAATGAAAAGAGATTGTACCTGCCATTTCCACTCCCTGTCATTTGTGGTCACACACCACCATTTGGCACAATAATAACCTCCAATATCCCCACACTGACGGTTTTCCTGAGGGGGCCGGAATCCCGGACAGGCGTAAAACCCATTCTGGCTCATAGAGATCTGTTCCACGTCTTCCCTCCATGGTCCAGTTACCCAAGAACTGGGGATTGGGGCAGCAGCGGGGACTCCTGGGGATATCACTACTGTCTGTGCTGCTTTTCTAGGGGACTGACTTTTTCTAAGTTGAAATATAAATCTGGCCACCAGGTGTTTAGTGGCTCTGCCCTTGAGGTGCTATTGTATACCTCATGGGTTTCTAAGTTCGTTATTTTCCATGTAAGTTTATATGGCAGATGTGGGTTATTATTATTTATTAATTATTAATAATTAATTAATTATTATTAATGTGGGTTATTATCATTATTAATTACAACTGCAAAACTTTGGTCTAAGAGCAGGATATCCATAATGCGCTTGCATATGAAACATAGAACAATACCAAACCCCATCTTTGCAGCTTAGTCCCAATCTTTGGGGTAACTAGTCCCAGTTTGAGTCCTAGAAGGGCAATCAGCAGTTCTACCAGAATTTGAGTCAATAGTCTCATTTACTCTGCAGACGCCACATGGGTCAGCCTGGTCTTTAGTGGATGTGTGAGGTCTGCCGTCGCCTCCACTCGTCCTGCCGTTGCTTCTGCTCATCCTCACCAGCCGGTCTCGCGTGGATCCAGGTTGCTACTCCGTCAACCTTAAGAGCAGTGGGGGTAACGAGAATAATTTGAAAGGGTCCTAGGGTTTTACTGTTATGCCGTTTTACCCACACCCAATCCCCTGGCTGGTGATGGTGATACAAGTGTTTAATACTCTCACTCCTTGGCCCAGCTGTCTGGTAGATGGCCTGGAGGGCCGGCCACACTTGGCTGTGAACACATTGCAGAGCTTGTACAGCCTGCAGTACCTCTTTAGGGTGTTCTGGGAGAGCCTCAGGGCTCACCCTAGGGATTACAGGTGGAGGGGTACCATATACAATCTCAAAGGGGGTCAGGCCCAATGGTAAGGGGTGTTCCGGGCTCAGAACAGGGCGAAGGGAAGGAGGGTCACCCAGTCCCTGCCAGTCTCTAGGACCAATTTAGTTGAGGACTCCTTTAGGGTTCTGTTCATTCTTTCTACCTGCCCTGAGCTCTGGGGAATATATGCACAATGTAACTTCCAATCTGCCCCCAGTGCTCGGGCTAGCCCTTGACTGACCTGACTTGTGAAGGCTGGCCCATTGTCAGATCCTATGCTCTCCGGCAGCCCGTACCTGGGAATTATTTCCTCCAATATTTTCTTTGCTACTATTAAGGCAGTCTCTCCTTTAGTAGGAAAAGCTTCCACCCACCCTGAGAAGGTGTCTACCATGACCAACAAATACCTGTACCCATATTTTCCGGGTCTTACTTCTATAAAGTCTATTTCCCAAAATAATCCTGGTTGCCTTCCCCGCTCCCTGGTACCTGCATGGGTCCCTCTGATCCTCCCTGGCTGCATAACCTGGCAGACACGGCAGTTCCGGACAATGTCTTCTGCTATCTCTCCTTGTGATTTGAATCTGATTTGTGCAGTGTCCAGCAACTGTAGCATCTTCCTTTTTCCCAGATGCGTCGTCTGGTGCAAGTGTCCTAGCAGGTGGTTCCCCAAGGCTTCAGGGACTACTAGGCGATGCTCTCCATCTTGGAGCCAGCCGTCCTTACTCTGTGTCCCCTGCAGTTTTTCTTTGGCCCAGGTTATATTCGTGCTGGAATAATCCGGTTGGGGGGGCATTTTTCCCATCCCAGGAGGTGGCAAGCTCAAATATAGAACTTCTGTTAGTGCTGGTTCCTCTGCAGCCCTTTTTGCCTCAGCGTCTGCAGCCTGGTTGCCCCGGGCTTCAAAAGAATCCCCCTTCTGGTGTCCCGGAATGTGGACTACTGCCACTGCTTTTGGCAACAAAATGGCTTCTAGCAGCTGAAGTATTTCAGGCTTATGTTTGATTTCTCTGCCCTCCACCATGATGAAACCTCTCTCTTCATAGAGAGCCCCATGTATGTGTACTGTCCCAAAGGCATAGCGACTGGCGGTGTATACCGTCAGCCTCTTTCCTTGGGCCCTGCGGAGGGCTTCCATCAATGCCACCAGTTCCGCCTTCTGGGCTGATGTCCCCTGTGGGAGGCGTGATGCCCAGATAAGATTGCCCCGCTCATTCACTATAGCCGCCCCCGCATACCTGTGTCCGTCCGGAACAAAGCTGCTCTCATCGGTGAACCAGGTCAGGTCGCTGTTTGGAAGAGGGTGGTCTTTTAGATCTTTCCTGGCCATCTGGGTCTCAGCCAAGATCTCGAGGCAACTATGTTCAGGTGTTTCCGGCTTGGGATCCGGCAGGAGTGTGGCCGGGTTCATGATGGCAGGAGTCCGGAACTCAATGCGAGGAGTGTCCAACAGAAGCCCCTGGCAGTGAGTCAGCCTCGCATTTGTAATTCATCATCCTGGCGGCTGCTTCAGGATCCCCTCTATGGCGTGAGGCATGGTCATCTGCAAATGCTGACCCAGGGTGAGCTTATCGGTGTCTTTGACCAGTAAGGCAGTAGCTGCGATGATTCGCAGGCAAGCCGGCCATCCCACCGGTACCGGGTCTAGTTTTTTTGACAGGTACGCCACTGGGCGCCTCTAACGTCCTAGTGCCTGTGTGAGCACTCCCTTGGCTATTCCCTTCTTCTCGTCTACAAACAGGTGGAACTCTTTTGTGGGATCAGGGAGCGGCAGAGCCAGAACCTCTAACATAGCTGTTCTCAAGGCTCGAAAGGCACCCTCCATCTGCACTGTCCATTGCCACATTTTCCCTGCCTCGCACCCTTCATACGAGGGTCTAGCCTTCTCTGCGAACCCCGGAATCCAGAGGCAGCAGTATCCCAACTGACCCCAGGAATTCCCGTACTTTCCGACATGAGGTTGTGGTGTGTATTCCAAGCACAGTCTGTTTCATTGCTTCTGTTAGCCACCTTTGGCCTCCCTTAATTTTATATCCTAAATAAGTGACTTCATCCTTGCAAATCTAGGCCTTCTTGGCACTAGCCCTGTAGCCCATTTCCCCTAGCACTCTGAGTAAGTGTTTGGTGCTCTCCAGGCAGGTCTGAAGGGTCGGAGCAGCTAATAGTAAGTCATCTACATACTGCAGCAGGGTCACCTCTGGGTGGTTGGCACGGTCCTCACCCAGGTCTTCATGAAGGGCCTCGTTGAACAAGGTGTTCAAGTTCTTAAACCTCTGGGGCAGTCTTGTCCAAGTCAGCTGCCCCTGGATCCCTCTCTCTTCGTCCTGCCACTCAAAGGCAAATATTTCTTGGCTGTGCGGGGCCACAGCTAGGCCAAAAAAGGCACCCTTTAAATTTAGGACAGTGTACCAAATCCGAGTTGGAGGAAGGGAGCTTAGTAGGGTGTAGGGGTTAGGAACCGTAGGGTGGATGTCTAGGACACGCGTGTTGACCTCCCTGCGGTCCTGCACGGGCTGATAATCCTTTCCACCCGGTTTCTTCACTGGCAACAAAGGCGTATTCCAGGCTGACTGGCACCTCCGGAGAATCCCGGCATCTGGGAGCCTTCGAATGTGGGGCGTTATTCCCACTTTAGCCTCCTGGGGCATGGGGTACTGTCTAACTCGGGCTGGCTCAGCCCCTGGTTTTAACTCAATGTATAGAGGTGGCCGATGCTTTGCCCACCCTGCACCCCCCGTTTCAGCCCAGGCTTTGGGAAATTCATGGAGCCAGTGCTCTATGTCCTTTTCCTGACCCCTCACAGGCTGGTATAGTCTACACTCATCCGCCTGTGCCAAGGTCAAGATTTGAGTGACCCGGGGGCTGCTAATAAGGTTGCCTTTATCATCAGTTATTATTCCTTCTTCTTCAAAGTAAATACAGGCTCTTAATTTTGTGAGTATGTCTCTCCCTAATAATGAGGTGTGGCACTCTGGAATGACCATGAAGGCATGACTCACTTGTCACGAACTTAAGTCCAACTTTCGCCGTGTGGTCCATTGGTAGGGCTTGGTTCCAGTTGCCCCCTGCACCCAGCTAGTCTTATTAGACAGTTTTCCCGTGGTCTCAGTAATCACCGAATGTTCTGCCCCTGTGTCTACCAGGAAATTGACTGGGCTCCCCTCCACTAGTAAAGTTACCCTGGACTCGGGGAGGGGAACCGAACCCTGTCCCCCTATTCATCCTCTATTTGCCCCACCACCATAATCTTCTCAGAGGATTCAGCTCTACCTTCCCCCTTTCTCTTGGGGGCAATTCCTAGCCCAGTGCCCATGCTCCTTACAATTGGCACAGTGATCTTTGCCTAGCCTCTCCCTCCAGGGTCGCTCCCGGCCTCTTGCCCCTAGCTGACCTCCTCCCATAGCTGCGAGTAGGATCTTGGCCATTTCTTTGTTCACCCTGCGCGCCTCATCCACTTGAAACTTTCTATCTTCCAATCTTAGTCTCTCTAACTCCTCTTCAGGCATTTCCCTGTTATTATATACTTTTTCTGCCACCTCTAGCAAGTCCTGTAGAGTTTCCTCACACAGCCTATCTATCCTTTGCACCTTTCGCCTAATGTCTGGGGCTGCCTGATTTACAAAGGCCACCATGACGGCTGCTTTACTCTCTTCTACGGTGGGATCTATCAGAGCGTACTGCCAAAAGGCTTCCATAATTCTCTCTACATAAGCTGCTGGACTTTCTTCAGGCCCCTGACGGACATCTCCTACCTTAGCCAAATTGGTCAGCTTCCGTGCCGCTGCTTGGAGACCGGCCATCAGAGTCTGGCGGTATACTGGGAGACGTGCCCTACCTTCAGCCTCATTGTGATCCCAGTGCGGCTGTTCAAGAGGAAAGGTCTGGTCGATGACTCGGGGCTTAATGGTAGGTCTGCCGTCCTCTCCTGGAACCAGCTTCCGTGCTTCCGCTTGGATTCTCTCTCTCTCTTCAGCTGTAAAAAGTACCTTGAGCAACTGTTGGCAATCCTCCCAAGTGGGCTGGTGTGTAAAAAGGACCGAATGTAAAAGGTTAATTAAATCCCTCGGATTTTCAGAAAAATTTGCATTTTGGGATTTCCAATTGTAGAGGTCACTGGTGGAGAAGGGCCAGTACTGGAATGTCTGTTCCCCATCTGCTCCAGGGGGTCCCACCGCTCTCAGGGGGAGCGCCCTCACAGGCTCCGGATCTGGAGCCCGTCCAGTCCTCTGCCTAGTTCCGTAAGCTGATCCCCCCGTCAGTGGTTCCATTGTGGCTATAGGCACTGCAGGTGCTGCTGCCACCAGGGAGGTGGGGTCGAGCACTGCCAGGAGGGGCGCATGCACGAGCACTGCAGGGAGGGGTGCTGGGAGGGGTGAGTACTCGGGCTCTGTGGGGAGGCCCACGTGCACCAGTGGCGCTGGGAGGAGCGAGTGGGCGGACTCTGCCGCCGCCACCAAGGGGGCAGGGGCGAGCACCACCGCCGAGAAATTATAGGGCAGGGGCGCATTCCATTCCAACTCTGTTAAATCTGGGTACAGATTTGAGTCCAGCAACACAGGGGAGGTGCCAGCAAAGGGCAGCCTTGAGGGCCATGAGTCCTGCATCTTGCCCATCTTCACCCCTTTAACAGCCAAAATCTTGGCCTTTTCCTTAGGGGCAGGCAGGAGGGTCTTTAGCCAGGGTAGTGGGTCCTGGACAAAACCCTGCCAGACCACAATGTAAGGAATTTGATCGGGATGGCCATGGTGGCCAAACGCCACCCCTTTTACCTTTTCGATGAGGGAGGCATCAAAAGAGCCCTCCTTGGGCCATCTTACCCCAAACTTAGGCCACTCCCCCTCACAAAGAGTGATAAGCTTTCTTTTTTTAACCTCCAAGGACAGATCTTGTGCCCTCTCCCTCACATCCTTAAAGTGACTCACAAGGATAGACAACGGTGTCATCAGAGTTTGTCCCATTCCTGAAAAGAAGAGGAAATCCTAGACACAGGACAAAAGTCACTCGCACAATTGCACAGGTGAAAAGACTAGACAAATGAGGCACAAGTAACAAAATGATTAAACAGATGAATAAACAACAAACAAAACAAAATGACCCACCTATTCCGGTCCCCTTCTGACCCAGCCTCCAGCTCCAAGGTCAGCCGTGGGGATTCCAAGGAGGTTAGCAGACGTCTCCGTCTGGCCTCCACCAGCGAGCCACCAACGCGTCTGCCTAGGTCCTAATGCCAGTCCACTAGTCCGGGGCTCCAATGTATGCACTCCTTCCCTGGCTCTGCGTCTTATCCAGCGGTCTCGGGAATCCTGGAAGAGCCCCCAAATGTTATATTCGAGATTCACAAGGCCGCAGGACAGAGAGACAGAGTCACCGAGGCTGTAATTATCAAAAGGAGTTTTATTGTCTAGCTCAAGTTAGGGTCCGAGCCCCCAGAGTGCCAGCGCAGTGGCCTCTTCTCCGGGTAGGGACCCTCCTTTGTGTGTTAGTCCCCTTTTTATAACTCAGTTGTTTACACACTGGTCATGCATCTGCCCCCACAGTGATTCTTACTTCATCCTGCCCCTGATAGGCTCTAACCTGTTCCGGGTCCTAGCTGAGAGACTCCAGTTTCCGAGTTCTTTGTCTTTTTCCTCTGTATCCCATAATGTACCCATAATGCCTTGCGGTTAGCAAACAGGCAGTAAATAGAAGCTGGAAGGTGTCCATTGTCTTTATAGCCCAGTATCTTACACTACAAACACACACCTTTTTACTTTTTTATTTTTTTAAGAAACAAGGTCTTACTCTGTAGCCCAGGCTGGAGTGCAGTGGCATGATTATAACTCACTGTAATCTCCAACTCCTGGGTTCAAGCAATCCTCCTGCTTATGCCTGGCATACACCACCACAACTGGCTAATTTTTTAATATTTTGTAGAAACAGGGTCTCACTATGTAACCCAGGCTGATCTTGAACTCCTGGCCTCAAGCGATCCTCCCTCCTCAGCCTCCCAAAGGGCTGGGATTATAGGTGTGAGCCACTGTGCCCAGCTACCTTTTTATTTTTAAGGCCTTTATCACTGACCCCTACAGAACATGTGGCACAAGGAAGCTCACAAAGCATGTGGCCGAGGTCCTGACTAGGGGAGAGAGAAAGTGTTAATTAGCGGGGTGTCAGTCTCTGTTTTTAAGTTTGAGAGTGGGACTCACCAATCTTGGCTTAGGAAAGCCTTAGGATTCTCTTTCCTTCCAGAAATCATCGGGACAGGACAATGGGTGCCCTCTAGCAAGTGTGTGATTTCCACTTCCATACATCTTCAGGCTTGAGTGACCCTCAGTTCCTCAGCCAGTCCAAGAATGACTCCTTCCAGATCTTTCCCTGTCCAAGGTCTCCAGGCTAGTGAGCGAGGTGCCTTCAGGGTGGATTCCTGTGCACATAAGCACACACTTGCTGTTTCAATTTCAAGTGACAAATGTTTGAACATTTCAGGTCAAGCTGGAGAGATATCTAATGCCCTTGAAACTCGTCAAAGAAACATACTGTGGAATTGAGGGATCCTCGGAGCAGAAGTGTGTACACTTTGCTGTCTGCACTCTTTCAGGCCACCAGTACCCTTTAGTGAATTGTTCCAGTACACTGCTCTCGTGTTGGTGCTGCCCTGGCCCACATTCCGGGCAAAGCCACATTTGTGTGTGGCTAATAAAGTAACCAACACCCTGTCAATCACTCACTTGGACTCTTCATACTTTTCCCAATGTTTGTACCTAAGTCACATGTCCGGCATGGCTTCCATCCACGAGGTGGTGGTATCGGCCCGGCCATAGTCTGGTCATTACACATACATAGGGCTGGGATAAGGGCTCCCCACTGTTGCTAGCCCTGGAAAACTGCACTAGCCCTTCTTGATTTTCCTAAATTTTTGGGACATACTTTTGGAAATAATCTTCATTTCCCTTTTATATGATGAACTTTTGAGTTTGATTTTCTCTCTTTCTAGAATGTCTGATTTTATTAAAGAGAACATCTGAAAATCACCTTAGTGCTTCTAGGTCACCTCTGATCAGTGCATGATGTTGTATAGCAGGTCTCTAGAAGTTACTCATCTTGTATAACTGAAAGGTTATACCCATTGGACAGCACCTCCCCACTTCCCTCCTCCCCCAGCCTCTTGAACCAGCATTTACTTCCTGTTTTTATGAATTCAGCTATTTTGGATACCTCATGTAAGTGGAATAATACAGTATTTGTTCTTCTGTGTCTGGTTTATTTCACTTAACATGATGTCTTCCATCCCTGTAGGCACATATTGCAGGGTTTCCTTCTTTTATAAGAATAAATAATGTTCCTTGTATGTCACATTTTCTTTATATATTCATCCACTGATGGACACTTAGGTTGATTCCATAGCTTTCACCATAGTGAAATAGTGCTGCCATAAACATGACAGTGCAGATATCTGTTTGATATATTGATTTCCTTTATTCTGGGCATATACTCAGCAGTGGGGATTGGTAAATCATATGGTGATTCTATTTTAGTTTTTTGAGGGACATCTATTTTTCTTATAGCACCATTTTACATTTCTACTAGCGATGCATGCGGATTCTAATCTCTTCACAGACTCTCCAGCACTTATCACATGTTTTGGTTTGTTTTTGATAAAGGCCATCCTAACAGGTGTGAGGTGATATCCTATCGTGATTTTGATTTGCATTTCCCTGATGATTAGTGATATTGAGCATCCTTTCTATTCCTGTTGGCCATTTGTATGTCTTTGTTGGAGAAATGTTTATTCAAGTCCTTTATCCATTTTTAAATTATTTGATTTTTTTTTACTATTAAGTTGTAGGAGTTCCTTGTATATTTTGGATTTAACCCTTTATCAGATATTTGATTTGCAAATATTTTCTCCCCTTCTCTAGGTTGGCTTTTCATTCTAGGACTAAATTTCACTTAGGAGGTGAAAGACTTGCACACTGAAAACTACAAAACATTAACAAAAGAAATTAAAGAAGGCACAATGAAATAGAAAGGCATTAGGCATTATTTATTTATAGAAAGAAAGGCTTAGTATTTTTAAAATGTCCATGCTACCCAAACTGATCTACAGATTCCATGCAATTTCTATCAAAATCCCAATGACATTTTTCACAGAAATTAAAAAAACAAACCTAAAATTCATAAGAAAGGATCTCAAATAGCCAAAACAATCTTGAAAAGGAACAAAGCTAAAGCTATCTCTTTTTCTGATTTCAAAATATATAACAACGCTGCAGTAATCAAAACACTGTGGTACTGGCATAAAGACAGAAATATAGTCCAATGCAACAGAATAGGGAGCCTAGAAATAAATCCACACCTCTGAGCCAACCACTCATTCTACAGGGCTACCAAGAATACACATGGGGAAAGGATAATCTCCTCAACAAAGAGTTTTGAGAAAACTGGATATCCATATGCAAAAAGATGTGGATATCTCACATCATATACAAAAATGAACTGACTATGGATGGAAGACTTGAAATTACATCCTGAAACTATAGAAGTCATAGGAGCAAACATAAGGGAAAGCTACATGACATTGGTCTTGGCAATGGTTTCATGGATGTGACATCAAAAGCACAGGCAACAAAAGCAAAAATAAACAAGTGGGACTACATCAAACTAAAAAGCTTCTGCACAGCAAAGAAAAAAATGAACAGAATGGGAGAAAATATTAGCAAACCATATAGCTGATAAGGGGTTAATATCCAGAA